GCAATTATTCGTTGTAAGTATTCATAAAAGCTTTTGTGTATGCTATTAAAACTTAGTACTGTTTTCATTTTGATACGAAATTCTGCATTAGAGGTCAAAGTATTTCAAATGAACCAACTAGCGTCCCCCAAATTGTTGAAAGTGCACGGTCCTCAGGGGACATGGTGACGTCATATGTGCCGACACACAACGAAGTCTATTTTGGCGATTTTTTTTATCTATTTATTTAAGTGAAAGGTTTTTGTGTCAGTAAATTTACAATTTGATATGTCGGTACAGGTGATACTGATAGATTATTTTAATAAAAAAAACCACAGCAATGCTAATGCTATACTTAAAATAATCACAAATTCATTAATTATTTTATTATAATGATTCGTACCTATTTTTGTTGGATAATTCAAGAATCAATTCGTTTTAAAAAATGACGTACAAAAATATTCATAGAAAAATTGTAGGTAGTATTTTTCACATTTCAGAAAAAATACTGAGTTTCACTTATTACCAATAATTTGCCAACATAGTGTAGTAAAATATTGCTCATTTTGAAACTCCTTAAAAAGATGAGTTAACGGTGATACCTATCGTTAGATAACTAACAAAACAAACGTCCCAACAGACTAACAAAACATACGATTCTTTTGATTGTTCCCAAAATACATCAGTCCACTTGTAAAAGCAAGTTTCCTTTTATAACGTTTAAATATAACTGCATAATCCATCATTTTACTAGCTCCTATCTACTCGAGCTATCTCTCAGGGAATATATGAATTTCTAGTGAAAAAGTCCGGTTAAAATAAATAGGAGTCCGGACAGCCGCTCTGCGCCCATTCTCTGTAGTATGTTGTACTACATTCGTTGAGGAACATTCTAGAATATTTTTTTATAAAGTATTTTGTATTTTTATAACTTACTAGCTACTCTTGCGCGGTTTCACCCGCTGCTGGGCTCCATTTAATCGTAGCGTGATGTTTTATAGCCTATAGTACTCAGAAACATTGTAGCTATCTACCAGTGAATGAGTTTTGGCAATCCGACCAGCGGTTCCAATGATTACCCCCTACATACAAACTTACAAATCTTACCTCTTTATATACTCTTGTGTTACTGGATAGTAATAGCCCTCTATTGCGGTCTCCAACTCACATTGGCGTGGAAAACATAGCAAAAATTAAATGACTTCTGTCGCTTGTGTCGTGGGGACGAAAGAGAGAACGTTTCTTCTTCTTCCGTGATGAGCCGTGGTACGCTTATACGTAATTTATAAAGTTAATTATAATAGTATGATAATGACATTGAAAATGTGTATTATATATTTCACTGGTCACAAACTATAAAAGCATTTTTTTCCCTGAAAAAATGTAATAATGATGAGTTAAAGTGTCGGATATTTACGGATAGTACGGTGGGACCATTTGTCTGTAAGTCCTTAATTAAGCCGACCAGTAATATTTCATTGGACTTTAATTGAACCAGAAAATGTTAATTAATTTCCTGTTACAGTTACTTTATTATTACTATACGAAAGTACATAATTGCTTGAATGATAAAAATTCATTCAGATTAAAATGGAATGTTTTCGTACAGTTATTTGTTTGTGATTATAATTGCGTTTTATATTCATTTTGTCAATCAGTTCAAAAAAGAGCACAAAATCGTATTCTAGCATCTAAAATAAATAATAACACATTATTAGAATTAGAAAACGAAACTCGATACATCTTGCTTTGCTGTTGAGGCAAACCTTGACCCATCCCCAATTCTACCAAACCTCAAATCCCTAACCGCAAAGACAGCAACGTACTTGCAGCTCCTCTTGTGTTGCGGGTGTCTATGGGCGTCGATTGCTCATATGTGTCTGTTCATATACTGCCCAGTCTCATAAAAAGTTACTTTTCCGACCAATGCGACTAACTTGGTAGTCGTTCAGTAATTCAAAAATGTCTGTCAACGTTCGTTGACCACAAAAGTCGCCGCCTGACCTCCCCTTTTAGCATTTAAATAAAGAATTTCCTTCTCTTTCCATTATTTTCTCTCAACTCAGGCCTCTTGAGTCCAGAATGAGGGGAAGCATATCAAAGGACAATTTCCCCTTTGGGATTGACAGTGCCTAAGCGATTATGTACACAATATGACACGTTTGTAGATAAACACTTTGTAGCGAAAAAAATAGGAAACCTGATTATGAAGATAATATCTCAATTTGTGCAGCTGTCCGCTGGTTACGCGGGTTAATGTTCCGGAGCATTCTTTGTGGCTTTTGTCTTTGTTGTTTACAAATTCATAATAAAATTTCCTATTAGCTTTTAAAAACACTCGCCTCGGTGGTGGAAAAGTCGTAGGAACGATTCGCTCCATGATTTCAAAAAGAGTAATACATTGACTGCACGGTTAGTGCGGTGGCTTTGCAACTGGCTGCCGTGCAACGTGTCGCGGGTTCGATTCCCGCACGGAACAACTCTTCGTGTGATCTACGAATTGTTGTTCCGGGTCTGGGTGTCATGTGTATGTGAAATTGTATATTTGTAACCGCACCCATGACACAGGAGAAAATAGTAGAGTTTAGCAACGTTTTATAAAAAAAAATATGTCGATAATTACGCATCAAGCTTTTCGGGTCTTTTTTGAAATTCTTCATTTTGCTAAGCATTTCTCAGTAAGTGGGTAGTTTCTTTAGTCATAAATTGATTATATCGACTTGCTGTTGACCTTTTATTTACTTCTCTTTTTACAAAACTCTTGAGTCTAGATTTAAACCATTGAGTCAGGTTTTGTATTTTAAATCTTATTCTCACCTACCTTAGATTTGAAATACAAAAACTGGCAAAAAGTCAAATCATTAAATCCAACTAAATCATAAATAGGTACTGTTGAAACGTCAAAAATGAATAGAAGTCTGTCTGTCTGTTCATCAGTGAACCTAGGTGCTCGTTCCTAATTGTAGATTCGAATGGAGAAGAACGAGCTAGAAACTCCATCGTTACTCTTTTATTGGTTTAGTTAGACCTAGACTAAATAAACATCTTTGTTTTTTAATAAGGCCGTTAGAGTTTAAAAGTCATGAGGTCATTGTTATACCTAGAAGGACGTCAAAATTCAAAAGACAAATGAAGCTATGTCATGATATAAACGTGGTGAAGCGAAGTTTCAAAATGATATGCACTTCTTTGTTACTAATATTAATGTTGGTTCATTCGAGTGCAAGTCTGTAAATGATAGAACAATGAAAACGTCCTCTTGTGCAAGTTTCAAGCAGTTTTTTGTCTATTTGGTAAAATTAAATTTTACGTCGCAAGAGACTAGATATTTATTTATTTATTTATTAAGAATATTTACATATACAACATTACAGCTTACGCCATTAAGTTGATGTGATATGACAGGCACCAAGTATTTTAGTAGTAATAGAGTTTAAAGATTATATGGTAGAAAGAAAAAAAAAGATCTTTTCTTCCTTGAAAGGAGTGAAGTGAAGTGAGGATTGAAAGTTTTCGAAAATTGAAGTACTAAGTACCCTTTAAATTGTTGAAATTCCATTAGTATGAGGTACCTTAATCTCTACCCTTAATCTGCCTGGTCTTAGTCAGATTTTTTTCATTTCTGTTCTCTCTATGTCTACATTATGAATATAGTGGGTAGGTTTTCTGACACCCTAGTTTTACTACCGAAATCCTTTCTTAATTTCCCCTACTATAACAAAGTCTTCCAAGTAGAGGAGACATGTAGTCCAACAGATGATGAACACTAATTTGCTCGTTACCGATGGAATGCTACGAGTAGCTAATCTCGTGCGGTTTCACTTGATGCTCGACTCCTATGGATCGTAGCGTGATGTTTAATAGCCTATAACTTTTCTAGATAAATTTACTAACAAACACAAAAATAATTGTTTTAAAAACTCTACAACTTTATAATATTAAATATAGATTGTAATTCAGAAGATTCGAATAGTTCCTACATTGTATTTAAAATTAGTTTTTCTTCTGTTTCTCTATGAAATTAAATACAAACAGTAATGGAATGTTTTTATAAGGACGGCGTATTAGAAATACTTAGTAGCCAATCTGCGTCCCTGTATAAACAATTTCTACAAAGGATTGGATGGAGATCAATTAAATGCGCTCTTTGAAAACAAGTAAACAATGCTTGTTGACATCAAATTGGCTCTTTAGAATAATTGGCCACGATTCCCTTTGGACAAACTTTTAAATTATAGAGGAATCGAAATCAAATATTACTTAGGAAGTTGGAGACTATATTTTAAACGGACGCCGGCGCCATTTTCTGATCGTTTCTAGTTGACATCCATGATTTTGATTAATAAGGCTTAGATTTAATTGGAAAAACTTTACGATTTGAATTTGTTTAATACGTTAAGATTCTTGTTTTAATAGGAATTACTACTGTCTGTCTGCCGAAAGTTTATAACGAACTTTGTTTTATCGTTTGTGATTAATTGGATTTGGATTTATGAATGGAATGCTTGAAATGTTTAACTTTTAAAAATACGTTTAAAGTGTGAGAGAGCCATGCTTCGGCACGAATGGGCCGGCTCGACCAGAGTGATACGACGGCCTCAGAGAAAACCGGCGTGAAACAATCACAGCGTTGTGTTTCGCCGTGTGAGTGAGGATACCGGAGGCCCATCCATCCCTCCTTAATCTCTAAATCCCTAATCCCTAAAATGTCGGCAACGCACTCGTAGCAGCTCTAGCAGCGTGCGCGGACGCTGCTCATGCGGACGCTACTGATGTAGGCTGCGCGACGTCGCCGCGTTCGCTGCTCGAGGAAGAACCCCTCTGTGGTTAGACCAAGGCCTCATAAAATGAGTTTGAGTAAGATGAAATTCCTTCTCCTTCCTCATTCCGAATCCAAAATCTTCCAATATTATGGGCGTTCGATTGAGAGGCTCTGAAACTTCTCACAGATGCTACGCACTCTCTACATACCGAAATTCTTTAAACACAGTTATTAAAATATTATTTTCTTTTGTTCTCAGGTGGTGGAAGACTGGAAATTCATGTCGATGGTCCTAGATCGCTTCTTCTTGTGGCTGTTCACCATTGCTTGCTTCGTCGGCACCTTCGGCATCATCTTCCAGTCACCTTCACTCTACGACACCAGGGTACCGGTAGACCAGCAGATCTCTTCCATACCTATGAAAAAGAACAACTTCTTCTACCCTAAAGATATTGAAACTATTGGTATTATCAGTTAAATGAAACATTGGCGTTAAGACCGTCATTTAAATAAAAAAAAAATATATTAGAACGTTTTGCTGTACAAGAAAACAATATTAAGTAAAACTGATTAAATTTCAGCAGCGAGTGCTCGCTATATCAATGCTCAGTATAAAATGTATTAAATTGTGACGTCACAAGATATTTCAAAGCAATAATATTATTATCACCGCCTTTCAGTTCCGTAAGAATAAAAAAATGTAATAAAATATGTGTAATATTGAAAATTTAACTCCAAGGCGTACTTTAAAAAAAAGGTTATCATCTCTATTGGAACAGGCGGTTAGTTACATTAATACTACAAGATGATCTGATTATTTCTTTTTATGAATATAATCCTTTAATATTTATTAATGTGCTCATTAATTGAACATAATTCATTTATTTAAAAAAATCTTGTTCATATGCGAAATCTCCTTAAATGTTACAATAACTAAACGTCTGCCGCGTTTCGTGTCGCGCTATATCTACTGCTCATGAATATGGGCCCCTGGCGAAGTTTGAAACTTATCGATTTATCCTGCAAATTTATAAAGTGAGTAAGCCGTTAAATGTCATTATTATCAATGTCTTATGAAAGATTGAAAACAAAAAGGTAATGTACTTATATAGTATGTGTTCTACTCAGCTGATTTTCGTTTTTCCTAAGGTTATTTCTAAAGCCTATGTTAATGTACAAGGAAGTAAATATAAGCATTAAACTCGTAAATAAATTGGATATGTTTAGAAAATTTATTTTTCTGGGCACAATCCTGTGATCCCTTCAAGGTACCACAATTAGTACCTTTTTTTGGATACAAACATATTTTACTTAAATATGTATAAAATAATTGAGTGTTATTTCCGTTACTGAAGTAATTTGTATTAAAAAGTGTTTTAATGGAATTATGGGTCCTTTTTATCTAGGCGATGCATAAAGATGTATTATATAGTTTTTAACATAATCCTACAAACAGTATAAACGCGGAAGTATGTAAGAAAGGATATATGTTTGTAACTCTTTCACTTAAAAACTATTGAACAGATCTGAATGAAATTTTGCCACAAGCATCGCACATTATAGTCTGTAAAGCCACTTAGACTTCTTTTTATCCTGGAACGAGCTGAAACCGTTTTTTATGTAACGAAACTCAATTTTAATTTTTAATGAAAGCATTTTATAATATATAATATAAAATAATTACGATGGGTTTATCCAGTCCGATATTTAATCATTTTGCTCACTTTATATGTAATTGAAATATTAAGTATACAATATATTTTAACATTAATAATATCAAATAATGTTTTAAAATAAGTAGCACAATGAATTATTAATAACATAACATTTATCCTATATAAAATGTAGACAATCTTTTAGTTAAAGATTTTTTTTATTATTTATTAAACTTATAATAATAATTTATGAAAGAAGTTTGTTTTATTTTAAAATCTATAAGTGTTATTGTAACAGAGATAGTAATTAAATGTTATTTCTTGCAAATTAGCACAAGATACTATAATTAAATATACATATACTAAATGTTGATCAGTAATAAATAGGAAATAAAATATAATAATTCGTATATAGGTTACGAGTGAAAATAATCTTAATTATGTTTTAATTTTTATAATAATAATAATATTAAAATTTGTTATTTTACAATTTATGTATGTTATATTAATTTATAAAAACTACGATGTTATTTAAAAAAACTTGTTTTTGTAGAACAATTGTTTTTGTGACGAATTTTAAATTTTAAATATCGTAATGTAATTAATAATATTAAATGTAACTATAATATTAATATTAATACACAATTAAATATTTTAATGTAACGGCTGTGAAAGATAGGTTTTAAATTTTATAAAATGGGTTAAGTAATTAAAGATCAAGTGTACGTTATAAATATAAAATTTAGAGCCTAATAAATAAATATATACTGATGACTTTTGTATTTTTTATTTTCGAATACATAATAATATTATGAATGCGAAAGTAGCTCTGCCTGTCTGTCTGTTTGTCATTTCTTCACGCCTAAACTACTAACCCGATTTCTGTGAAATTTGGTACAGACATGGTTTGGAACTCGAGAAAGGACATAGGATAGTTTTTATACCAGAAATCTGCAGGAAGTCACTATTCCACGCGAACAGAGTCGCGGGCAAAAGCTAGTAAAAGCATATTTTTTTTAGTTAAATCGTTCATATACTAAAGAACGATTTTCGATGGTTGTTTGTCATTTATTCGTATCCTAAAAAATGTACAGATATTGGCACAGTGGGAAATTCACTTCATATCATCATATTTCTCATCTTAGGCACTTAAAAGATTGGTGCCCAAACTAAATCGTCACTATATGATAGCGGTGTCTAAATAGACTTAGGCAGTAGGTGCTTTAACCTCCAGGCTATTACGAAAGTTTTTATTATATTTATATGTACTTATATACTTTATTGCATACATATAGTAAGCAGAAACACGTTAGATTGAAAAAAGAATGTTGTGATTACAATGAGTGGTCTTACCAAATAAGGCGATTTCTTCCAGACAACCTTTTGATAGAAATGTGTGAAAGAAACGTGGGGTTTAATCTTAACAATTATTATTTATATATTTTTTTATGTAATTGGTCGGCAAACGAGCAGACGGATTACCTGATGGTAAGCAATCAGCGCCGCCCATGGACACCCGCAACGGAGGAGTTACGAGTGCGTTGCCGACCTTTTAGGGATTAGGGATTTGGAAATTTAGGGATTGAGGAGGGATTGGGCCTCCGGTAACCTCACTCACACGGCGAAACACAACGGTGTGGTTGTTTCACGCCGGTCTTCTGTGAGGCCGTGGTATCACTTCGGTCGAGCCGACCCATTCGTGCCGAAGCATGACTCTCCCACATATTTTCATTCCTCTATATTATAATATTTTAATATTATAAAGCTGGAGAATTTGTTTGTAGGTTTGAACGGGCTAATCTCCAGAAGTACCTACTGGTTCGAATTCAATAATTCTTTTTGAGTTTGTTAGTAGTATCGAGGAAAGCTTTCGGCTATAAAACATTACGCTACGATTTGTAGGAGCCGAGCAGCGAGTTAAACCGCGCGACAGAAGCTAGTAATACATATATATAACAAAAAAAATATATATATATATAAATTAGTTTTTACAGATTTTTATGGTGAAATTAAACAATAACATTATTTTTATTGGTTTATTGTTTAGTATTAGTGAATTCGACGAGCCTAGTGATGTAATCGAAGAGACTAGTAGGGCAGTCTTCCACATATTTGTCGCAGTCACCTCGGTGGCCATCCGCTTCTGCCTCGTAGTATTCATCCTCTATTCCTTCTTCTTGAGATGATGAGGGACTGTTGGTAAGAGAACATTGTTTAAACGAATTTTTCTTTTTTTGAAGGTAGAAAATCAGCGAAAACTGTGGCCACCCTAAGTGGAACTATTTTAAATTTTGTCTATCTATTAATGTTAATATTAAAATAAATAGACTGTTGACATAGTAGACGATGGTTGAAAACTAGCTGCCATGCAACGAGGCGCGGACTCTTTGCGTCATCCACAAATTGTTGTTCCGGGTATGAGTGTGATGTATATGAGAAGTTTTATGATTATAATCGCAGGAGAAAAGTCAAGTGAGAAACTAAAAAAAAGTATCTTGATTGCATGGCTGTGCTAATTTGAGGGACCCAAAAATTACTGTGGTGTGGTTACTGGGTCTCAGTTTCATGTATTGATGTGATTTTATCTGTTTTCTAATGTACTTCCAACACAGGAAATAATGCCCAAACTAACAATGTAAATACGCAAGACCAATGTTGTCAATGTCAACGCTACCGATTGCTTAACATCAAGTAGCCCATCTCTTTCTTTGCCGTTCTAATTATAATAGATGAATAGATAAAATAGTAAACTCACGTGAATATAATGTGTAGGATATGTCCAAGGATGCCGTTGTGATGTAGTGGAGTTTCCGCTGCTTCACAAATGTTACGGAGCATGCACTCTCTGCCCTTCATACCGTACCTGAAATAGATTTATAGAATATCATTTAGAAAACCTTTCAAAATGTCGTGTCTGCGATTCTTAGTTAATAAACATTATGGTGTGTATACATTAAACATATTTTTTTGCATTCTATAACAGATTACGATGACTATATAATAAGTACTAAGTGTAGATTCTGCGGCACGAATGGGACAGCTCGACTGGATTGGTACTACGGCCTCACAGAAAACCAAACCTTCTAATTTCCCTCCCAAAACCTAATCCCCAAAACTCCTCCAGTTTTAAGTGTGGGAGAGCCATGCTTCGGAACGAATGGGTCGTGGTCGTGGAAACGGGCGTGAAACAACTAGAGCGTTGTTTTTCGCCGTGTGAGTTAGGTTACCGGAAGCCCAATCCTTCCCCTCCCCCGATCCCTCCCAATCCCTAAATCCCCATCCTTATCCTTATCCCTAAAAGGTCGGCAACGCACTCGTAACTCATGGACACTCTTCACGGAGATTATGAGTGTCCATGGGCGGCGCTGATTGCTTACCATCAGGTAATCCGTCTGCTTGTTTGCCTGCATTTAGAGAATCAGGTAACGTTAAAAATGTTGTGTCTTTCATTCTTAGTTAATGACCATTATGATGTGTATTCATTAAACATATTTTTTTTACATTCTATAACAGATTACGATGACTATACATATAATGAGTACTAAGTGTAGAAGAGGCATGCTACGGAACTAATGGGACGGCGCGACCGGATTCGTACTACGGCTTCACAGAAAACCAAACCTTCCAATTCTTGTCCCTTTGTCCCAACAATCCCTACATCTCCGAAAACCTAATCCCCAAAACTGCTCCAGTTTTTCCGGTTGTCTTTGAGCGGCCACGATTGCTTACCATCAGGTAATCCGTCTGCTCGTTTGTCGTCCTACCAAATATTTTTTTAATGGCTTGATTTGTTCTTGCTTTAATACTTACTCTTGAAACCTGTTCTCCAGAATGGTGTAAGTCAGCTCTCGTGATATACTACGACTTTGACGGGACGTTACCACCTGGAAATTGTAAAAAACAATTAATACTAATAAACCACATTGCTGGTCCAGTGACCTTGGACTCGATACCTTTTTTCAGCACTTTTCGGATCTTGGTTTTATGAAACAGGACCTTATACTCGCTGATGGGGGCTTATGGTGGCTTTCAAGACACCTAAGAGGTGATGGTAAAGTTTCAAAGCCCATCGTTTTTCCGTCCAGAAGTTAGGAGTTTTTTGCAGGATTTTCGTTGCCATTATCCGATACAATCAAAGACCTACTTGGCATTTATAAAAGAGTGATCGATTTTTTTTTGCTTTTTATTTAATCCAATACTTGTTTGTCTGCCCAAGAAATCCAAGTTTATACATATAGGTAATACTTACTGGTAGATTAGGGAATAACACTTCGTCGATTTCTGTTATGTTGTTCAGGGTGCTGTAGTTAGACTCAAAGTTGTAGGACACGAAGACGTTCTTATTTGGTATGTCGATTGGTACGGCTATAGCCAAGAAGGTCTGGAAACAGAAAATTTATTATTAACACTTATTCCTATTGAAAATCCCTTATAGGTATTGGGCTGAATGTTTAGTCGGGGTTGGTGTGGTTGTGGTTATCGATACCAGCGCAATAATGGATCGCAGCTCCGACCCAGAACAGGAGAAGGAGCTGGGTAGTTTATAGCTAGTATGAGTTCTCCACTTGAGACTTCCACTCACCCCATCCAGGGCTGGAGAAGACTATGGAAGATTCCTTGGCATCCAAGAATACGTTCTCAACAGTTTTTTTGAGTGGTTGGACAGTCGAAGTATTGAATTTCGTATTTAAAAAAACTATCCATGTTAAGGCAAAGCGTGCGACTAAGTCTAACAAAACATTGGAAACAAGGGGTTATTAAGAAACATAAATAATACGGTTTAATTGACTACACCAGTGGGTGGATGGGTAACCAGCTGCAGCATCATGTGTCGTGAATTATTGTTATTCCGGGGCTGGGTGTGGTGTGTATGTGAACTTGTATGTTCGTAAACGCACACGCACACAGGGGAACATACTAGCGTTAGATTGTAATAATTTGAAAAAATATACTAAAAATACTTCACAAAGTGCTTCAATTAGTTGGAAGTTTATCATTATGATACATTTACAAATCTACTTACCCCGTAAAGACTTGTAGGAGGGAATATAAGTGATCTCTTATGCTCTGACTTGCTCCTCGCACTGGTCACGATAAGACATCTGAAACGACATGGTTTTTTCATTTTAACACTTATTCCTATTGAAAATCCCCTACAGGTATTGGGCCGAAAGTTCAGTTAGGTTTTCTTTTATGGTATAGTGATGAAGTCCTATAAAATCAAAATAACATGAAACAAAACAACAGACATCTATTTTCTTACTCTTCTTGTTATATAAATTTTATTTTAATAATATTTTGATGTAGAAAATTAAGAAGTAAAATCTCTTTTTGTGAGCTTTATTATAAAACGATATTTTCGTTTGTTTGTTCTTATTATTACTTCATGCACACAATGCAAAATTATACATGTACATTAGGCAGATATAATGCATTGAGGATTCACAAGACTAAATTTAAATACTCACAATGTAAACAATATCTTGAACCCCTTCATTTTGAAAATCACAATATACCTATAGCACAAAATGTAATGTAATGTGTATGTACACACAGGCACTCGTACGCATATACTGGTACTAATATTTTTACGATGCGCAGGCGACTCGAACTGGCCCACATTTTACTAAATTATCACTTGTTCGCTAAATTACTGTGCGATACTTTTCACCTTATGGAATTTTCTACAGATCTCAGTGACTGCAGTGCCTGAGTAATGATGAATTTTCTAATAAATATTTGTAAATTAATCATTTATATTATCATCACTTCTGAACGAACAACGACCTCTTCTCACATGGGAAACTTTGAGCATTAATCAGCACACTTGCTTAATACAGATTGCCGAAAAACTCACATTGGTATATGCAAGGTTTCCGATCCTTATGATAAGCCTCCAGGCCACCACAACATACATTTGTAGTTAATAGATAGCATAAAATTATCTATTTAATTCTGCGAAGGTTTAATTATTACTACTATTAATTCCTAATCGTAAATTTGGCTTTCTAAGATTTCGGATTCGTATGAAGCTTGGATAGTGGCGTAGTCTAGGGATGGTTGCCCTTATATATTATCTCTAGCTACCCGCCTCGGCTTTTAATCTGTTGCATAGTTTTAAAGATTTAAGCATACATGAGGTTATAGGGACAGAGAAAGCGACTGTGTTTTATATACTATGAAGTGATAAGAACTACACCACAACCAGAGAAAAAATCATTATCAATGTGTCAACTCTGCCTAACAGTTGTAAAGTGACGATTTGCCAACCTTAAAAAATCATCATAAAACACTTACAACCGGTTTCTGAAAGGCTTGTCAACGCTATAATTAACTAATCTCCTGTTAAATCTCTTGTCAAGTCATCTGATTGGTTATAGATAATTCAGTCAACCAATCAGATGACTTGAACAAGAGATTAATTTGATTTTAACATTGATCGGCCTTTCGGAAACCGGGTGTTAAACGGTAAAACTAAATGAATTAATTACGATTCGACATCATATCACTCCAAGCTAAAGTCGTTGCTTTATAGAAAATATGCAAATAAATATAAAACGACATGACATAATTATGTACATGTTTACATATACATTTCATTTTTGTTGATCGCAGTTAATTAGGAGTGGACACTGCGGTCGATTTTACGAGTAAATTCTAATTTAATTACCTAATATAAAGTTCATTTCGGACGTGATTTTGTAATACATAACCCTATTTACTTAACAAACACAATGCAGTGTTTCATGCCAGTTTTCTGTAAGGATTTTTTTTTGTGAGGGGAAAGTCATCAAATGTCTTCTCCCGGGCGGGAGGGAGTGCCAGACTCTTACTGGCTAAAAACCCCCCTGTTCCTTCTCCTGCTCTGGGCCGAGGTCACGGTGCCTCATTGCGCTTACCCCGCAACCCCGGCTGAGTGAGGATGTGGTATCACTTCGGCCGAGATAGCCCATTGGTGCCAAAGTTGAATACTTTTTTATGAGGAACAATCGTATAGATAATATCTTCTCCTGGTTTTGCTGACTAAAAACCACCACTTCTGCTCCGAGATTTGCCATGGTACATTACTGCACTTTACCTAAAACCCCAATAGCACATTTACGTCGGTTCAAAATAATATCAAGCCCATCGATGCACTGTAATCGGTCGAGAAAACTATAACATCAGGACCGTTATATGAGAATTGGTACAGCCAGAAGGTAGGTGCTACTGAACACTCTAATTGACCCAGAACATAAGGAAAGTGTCCCAGAATATTTATCTACATATATGTATGTATAGTAGCTTAGCAACAAGATGTATAGTTTGTATTTTAACACGGATTCTAAGGTTTTCAGCAAATCGTAATTTATTTCACTTTCGAAATATTTCTTCTGTGACATCTTTAAGGTGCAAATTTGGTTTATTTAGAGCATAATAGATATTTGAAATTGTCTTGTCCATGTTAAAAATATAAGTGTAAGTAGTCGATATTTTATATTATACCTATGTATGTCTCAGTGGTTCTATTTCCGTTCGGTACAAGACTTTGTATAACCCAAAATTGTTATTGTTATGATGATTATGTGAATTTGTATGTGTATAAACCAACTTACAGACCATGAAAAATACATAGTTTTGAGTAAAGTTTTAGTTACTAAAATATATATATCAGAAAAAGTTATGTACTTACTTACTAGAGTTAAGGAATAATATAACATAGTTATTCTAGATTTTAGTGTTGGCAGAGATTGAATAAAAGTCATGACATAAACAAAAAAACAATAACAGTTGTCATCAATTTTGGAAAAGGCGATCTGTAGATGATTTAAATCGTAGACCAACATTCCAAACATTGGCCCAAAGATTCAAACGTAGAGTAAAATTTATCTCAACTGTGACTCACAAATTGGCTTTACGTCGTCTTGACAGATGTAATCGTGGAATTTACGTGACAAAAGCCCCTCAACAGACATTATTGAGGGGTGTTTACACGACCTTAACTGTAATGGAGCCATTAGTCATACACGTAAGCGACGCGATCTCAAAGGATTTTGATTTTAAAACTACATTGGTCACTGATAAAAATCTATTCAGGTGTAGGGATTGTCTTCCGGAAATCAAATGCTAGCTTAAATAAAACGGTATTTTTCGTGGTGGTAATTTCTTTGATTCAGTTAACAAGTGAATGGAATAGAAATGAAGTGTAGTATATTTTGAAACTACAGGAATGACATAATTGTTTGCAGTCGTAGTGACCCGGAGGTTAAGGAGCCCGCTTCTCATGCACAAGGCCGAGGTATCGAAACCTGGCAAGTACCAATGTGACTTTTTCCGAGTTACGTACGACGATACGACGACGTACGGTGAAGGTAAACACCTAGACTTATAATTTCTAATTATAAGTTTGAAATCGCCAACCCGCATTGAGCGAGTGTGGTGAGCTTCTTCGTGTGAGAAGAAGCCTTTGCTTAGCAGTGGGCACTTATGGGCTGATGATGATGGTGATAAATTATTTACGAGTATGTTATTTAAATAGGTTGTGGTAAGCAAGTATGTGTTTATGTGTACTTCCTAAGATTATTTAGGCACCATTGATATGCGAAGAACGAAAACATTGTGATAAAACTTGGACTTATAATTTCTAATAATCAATTTGACATCAGTGGCCCGCCTCGAATCAGGTTTGTGATAAATGCTCAAACCTTCTCTATGTGACAAGAGGTTTATTGCTCAGCAATGGGCAATGAGTCCTTTACTAAGACCTGAACCCGAACTTGACAATAGAAATTCTAGTTTTCTTTCTTAATAGGTAGGTACATATATGCACATATGTGTCCTAGACACATGTGCATATTGTGTCATAGAAATTCTCAAGTTTGAACAACAATATCTTTCGCGGGTTTCAATATGAAATCTCTGTAATAGAATCTACATAATAAAGTTGAGTTTTCCTTCAAACGCCAAAACCACCCGTGACGTCAATACTTATATAAGATTTTCCTTTATCTCCCTTTTTATATATATTTTTGCCGCAGAAAATTTTCGAGGTTCCATGCCCAAGTAATTGCTCATTATTTTCACTTCTTTTTTTCCAATTTCAAGGTTATCGTGGTAAAGATTTGACTATTGATTTTGTTTTTGGTTCCTTGCCTTTATGCTGCACAGACTTGTTATGTTGAATTGAAAGTTTAAAGATGAATCACTAACTGAAGTACTATACATATTTTCTAGTTTAATAATAGCCGAACTGGTATCCTAAAAACGAGGTACACAAAATAATAATTAATTAATTACCAATGAAATATTAAGTTACGTTGTCCAGTTAAATAAAAACTGCCGAGACTCAATAAGCAAACCCATCCCGTCGTACTTAAAGAAGAACATAACTAAATAACAAGGAAACTTTTAGTGAAAATTATCAAAACCATTTCTCCCTTTGATGTTTGAAGTACTGCATATCAATTGGTGAAAAATCAACAGCAAGCGGTTCTGTTCAAAGTGGACGCGTATATCATTCCAGCTATATCCTAGAGCGGCTCTAACCCCTCGATCATGTTCAATTACTGGCTGATAATTACGATGTGAGCTCGGCCCATACCTACACCGACACTGCATGGGGTTGCTTCGTTAAACCGGGACGTTTCATTAATTACACAAAATAAATGGGTCAAGGGAATGATAACGTATTTTCAATTTTTATCGACAAAGAAATTAAGTGTATTTGTTTTATCGTTATAATTGGGTAGTTTCCTAGGTCAAAAATATATTAATTCGACGTTTCAATACAATTTGAAAAATAACTATACTTTCATTCATCGATCGATCGATAGGTACACTAAATTTTATGTAAATTTTAGATATTTTTAACTAATTTTTTGGAAATAAGTAAGCTATTTGACGTAAAAATACTAATAATATAAAATAATTCGTCATAATGTGATTGTGTGTCAGTATTTCATACAAACTTCATAGAAGTGTCGTTTTTGACATTGGAATAAAAGTGTTGAATTTGACTAGTTGGAAACTACCGTATTATAATGGATTTTAAAGCATTTCGCTTTTCCTTTCCGGTACGTTTTATTGTATTGTCATGCTGTTGTGAGATACGGCAAAAGATAACACAACGAAAAAACCTCTTTTTGTGAGGGGACAATCATTAAATGACTTCTCTCATCCACTTACTAATTAAGCATTTGACTGCCGACAAAAACTATTGAAGGCTAATCCTCCGCAAGCGTCGGACACCATTGTCCGACACGGCGTTCTAAGTGTTAAAAACCCTCTGTTCCTTTTCCTGCTTTATTGCGCTAGTGCCGCAACCCCGGTTGAACTTCGGCCCTGTAGGGCCTGTAGGCCTAGGTCTGTAGTGATCTATTCGCTCTTTGAGGCGTTCACGGAACGCTACGCGCCATACGTTCGAAACCACGAGGAAAGCTGGGCTTCTAATTTTAAATTAAAAGTTGGAAATCGCCAGTCTGCCTGAAGTATTGTGGTGATACTCAAAATTTTTCAAGTAAGAAGATACCTTTGCTCAGCAGTGGGAACTTGTAGGCTAATGCCGATGATGTGGTAGTCATTGTGGTGTAGAATACATTCGAAAGATATTCGATATCAGTGCATATATTTCCGTTAAAATTGCTATCTCAAATCTGCCCACTAAGCGGTACGTACATTAAGGCACCTCGGCCTCAGCCTCGACCAGGAGAAGGCACAGAAGGGTTTTTAGTCAGCAAGAGTTACACTTTTTCTGGCCTGTGCGATAAAAGTCATTTGATAGTTTACCCCTCAAGCGATGATTCACGAAATTTCAAGCTGAGACTCAATAGTCGAGGTTACGGTCTCTACCGAGGCAGAAGATAAATAAACAAAGAAAATACAAAAGCCAATAAGGCAAGACTCGTCAGCATTACAGTGCTGCTGGTAGTTGTCCAAACAGGCGCGACCTACAAACATACAGCAACGAGCTACAGCGGACCTCAGCATTTGTTGTTTGCACGATGCCTCGGTCAAATCAGATCTGCTTTACTCGGGTTGTTTTTAAGGATGGATGGTGGGTTAAAGTTTTATTATAAATATTTCAATAAAGCTTTCTGTTGTTCGTGGGTCGTTTTTTTACTTTTTCTCCTTGGCGTATTCAAGTAGGTTATCCTACTAATATTATACATGTGAAAGTTTGTGAGAATGTATGGATTTTTTTTTGTCGTTTTTCTACGCGCAAACTACTGGACCAATTTGTCTGAAAATTGGTAAGTAGCTGATGTCCTGTATTAACACACAGGCTGCTTTTTATCAACACACTACGCGAGTGATGCCGCTGTCTGAATCCGGTTATATATAAATTAGAAGTTATGTAATGGAACGTTGGATAGTAGTATACACTTTTAGGCAACAGAGATTACAATTCCCTAGGGCAGGAAAAACGGAGATACAACCAAGCAAGGTGATAATGCCTGACAGTCAATCTGGACGTAAATTTGAGTGACGTAAGACTTGTGACGTCTTCTATAATTTGAATCCCCTTTCTTCTATATGCATCTTTACACACTTGGAAAAAAGCTAAATGGTGGATAGTTAACTTCATAAAAAAGAAATATACTATACTAAATAGGGCAATTTAGTAGCGTGCAAAAAAAATAAACACGTGACGAACTCCGATGACAACAAAGTTTTCATTGAAAACCAATTCGCTGCCGGTTATAAAAGTGGTATTTGTTCTTTTTATCCCAAAGAAAAAAAATATTTTACTGTGTCAGAGAAGTAGAGAGCTGATAGTTTAAAGCTCGATGTATACGATTCAAGTTTCTTGAGTGTTGCATACAATTAATTAAATCAATTATTGACGTGCATGATCTAACTAAACAATAAGTACTACGGTATAATGGAAATAAGCTATAAATTTATTGAAAACCTACAATTATTTTTCTGTTTGCTAATGAAACGGGTATGGCCTTAATACAGCCATATATAAACGAACATAAGATTTTCACAACAAGACATATGTTATGAGGTGCAACGGTATAAGAGTTTAGGGAACAGAGAGTCAAGTTCCCCAAGCTCAGAAAAGAGGATTTCCTCCGACCAGGCGAAGTGATCGCGCAAATTTGTATAAATACTTAATTTAATAAAAAAAATCTACATTTGCAGTATCAAGATTGTACGGTTGACGTGCTGCCCGGGCAACAGGCTAAGGTAGAGCAGTGTAGTAGCTACTCTCGCACAAAAAAAACTATTTGTGAGATACATAAATTGGTGTTTCAAGTCTAAGTGTGATCCTCGCGCGACCTCGGCCCAGAGCAGGAGAAGGAACAGGGGGGTTTTTAGTCAGTAAGAGTCTGACTCATCCTCTCGCCTCACCCTGGGCGGGAGAAGTCATTTGATGATTTTCCCCTCACGAAAAAAAAAGTCTAAGTGTGATGTACATGTGAAATCGTATGTTTGTAAGCACATCTACTATACGGAAGATATATGTATGTACACCAAAATAAAAAAAAGATCAAAAAAAAATATTATATTGTATCGTTTTATTCAGCATACAAAGAAATTCGTTCGAGAAGATTCGACGGGCAATCCCTGGTGTATTTTCTACATTTATTGTCCAAGCCGTAGTATTCTGCTTCGTAGAAACTGTCATCTATGTCGTCTTCAGACATTGATGCGGATGGCCTGGGAACGAAACGATTTTTATTATTTTTCATACAATAACGAATATTTTTTAAGAGTATCCTGGAGAGATAATATATGAATTTGAAAGTTATATATGTTTGTTATTCTTTCCGCAAAAATTTCTGGACGGATTTGTTTGAAATTTGGAATGTAGAGATAGGTATTAGGCCGAGGCCGCGGGCGGGAGCTAGTATACGTACCTAATATTTTTATTACATAAAATGTTTTTTTCACAATAGTTTAAAGTTATGGTTAGGACATAATTGGGTAGTTTCCTAGGTCAAAAATAAATTAGTTCGACGTTTCAATACAATAAAATATTAAAAAATAACTACATACATACTTTATTCATCGATCGATCGATACACTAAGTTTTAATTATTTTATAGCAGATTTTTAAGAAATAAGTAAGTTATTTGACCCAAAATTACTATGACGTCACAACTCAGTGTTTCATACAAATTTCATAGAAAAGTACCGTTTTTGACATTTGGATAAAAGTATTGAATTTGACTAGTTGGAAACTAGCGTACAGAGGATTTACCGTTAAGGCTCGTAAAACATTGGAATTTTAATATTAATATTTAAATGTGATTTACTGATAGTAAGTTAGCCGAGTACGAAAGTAAAGATCGATTTAGTAAGTTTAAGCAACTAATCCAGCCAATGGTTATGAAAGATGGCTTCTAATTTGGTGTAACAATAGCAACTAATGATGTACCTACTGGGTTTATCTAATTTGATTTAATTAATTTCTAAAATAACTGTGGCGATCATAATGAGATAATTTTGTGATAATAATATTTTTTTGCAACTTACGTGAGCACTAGGTATATCAGATCTCCCATTAGTCCGTTATGCAAGAAATGAGTGTGGGCATTCTCACAGATAAGTTTCAGCAAGCACGCCCGGCCAGGATACCCATTTCTAAACAGAAAGTGGGTTTGAAAATAATTAGTGACAAAATACATATGGAATTATTAATACGTATTAAAAACGAGAATGTTTGTAATCATGGACGGATGGATGGATGTTTGTTCGTAACTCTTTCACGTTAAAACTACTTCAAGGATCTAAATGGGATTTGAAACAAAGAAAGAGCTATACTCTGGAATAACATATAGGCTACATTTTACTCTAGAACTGCGGGCGAAGCTGGTTGTAGAAGCTAGTACTCCTCTTAGAGTAGTCAGATTGCAAATGTCGGCTTCAGCAATTTTTTCCATATAATTCAGACGTGTAATAAAGATGGTTTATGGGCAAATTACAATAAAACATAAAAAAAAACATAATTTTCTTATTCAGAAAAAGCATTATTTACGTTTAGAATAAATACGAAAATATAATAAAAAACAAAAAAAACTATGGTATAGTAATTGGAGTACAACTTCTTCATTCGTAAACTATTTTAAAGATAGAACGAATTTAGTTTTTTAGTCCTAATATTAGTTTTATTGCTTATGTGAAACAAATAAGTTAGTTTAAAATAATTGTTAGAGTAAACAAGTTTGGCCACTTTTAGTTAAAACTTAACTATAAACAATGTAAACTTCACTACTAATCCTTCAAAAGCAAGCGCAATGTATTTAAATAGTGTACCAGGGTAGCAACAGAATTAGTAGATTGCCGTTGTTCAGTGGTTAGAACTGCAGTCATTTGGTAGCACAAAGTCCTGCTACAGCGGCATTAAGTTCTCTTACGTTTTATGGCCTCCTGGTAGTTGTGGATTTGTTTAGTGTTGCTTTCAAGATTTTCGTGGCTAATATTGACGAATGTACCAATAAAATACATACGTAAACATTGTGTACTTGAGTTGAAGTACTTCTGTATTCTGAGTACAAGTATAAAGAATCTTGAAATTATTTAACATACTTTCAAATTGATAATGTCACTCGATCGTTTATATCTGCTAGTCTAAATGAAATTCGGTTAAGTAAGTAGGTATGCAAGAGTGGAGGAGCCATGCTTCGACATGAACGGATCTGCTCGACCGAAGTAATACTCCACAGCCTTACAGAAAACCGGCGCGAAGCCACAACAGTGCTGTGTTTCGCCGTGTTTGTGAGCGCTACCGGAGGCCCAATCATTTTCCTCCACAATCCCTAATTCCTAAAAAGGCCGTCAAAGAACTTGCAACTCCGCTGAAGTTGCAAGTGTCAATGGCCGATTGCTTACCATCAGATAATCCATCTATTCGTTTGCAGCCGTCTCACATTCGTACAAACACAAATCAAAAAACTTAATACACACAGCACACAGCTATATAAATATTCTAACCAAAGTGCCACTAATTATGAATGTATGTAATATTACATACCGAGCGCTAAAAACCGAAAAAGAAAATGAAGTAGAAGTAGATAGTAATCGATTAGTTTGCTTTATTAACCTTACTAACGTAGCATTAGGACTTGTATTCACTAGGCAACGTTAAGCGCGAAGGAAGCGAAGGAAAAGGTAGCGCAACATGTTGGCCCACGTGTTGAATGTGACGGCGGAACATTTTAGTTTAGCTGTTGTCTGTCAACACAATGATTTCGCTCGCAATAGTCGTTGACAACGTACTACCAGAATAACTTGTAGTTGATATGAGGTGTTCTTGTTTGTTATTAGACTATACAGTGTCAATATTCTCGTATCGACTCAAAAACTCCATGTTGTTCTGAAACCCTGGTACCATAGTAAATAATATTTGAAGTTTTATTTCAGTTTCAGAGAAGTCGTCGAGCAACGTTTCCTTCCATCTTGCATGTAACATGATGCGCGGCGTATTACAATGCGTAGATCGGCAAACGAGCAGACGGAATACCTGATGGTAAGCGATCGGCGCCGCTCATGGAGACACATAACACAAGAGGAGTCTCGAGCGCGTGGCGCGCCTTTTAGGAATCAGGGTTTTGGAGATTTAGGGATCAAGAAAGGAGTGGAGGAGGGGAAGGATTGGCAACCTCCGGCAACCTCGCTCTAATGGCGATACACAACGCTATGGTTGTTTCACGCCGGTTTTCTGGGAGGTCGTGGACTCCTGTCGGGCCAAGCCATTGTTGTTGAGCAACGTTTTATACAGCGGCTCACGCGTCATTATTGTTGCGCGCCAGCAAGAATAAGTGTGGGAGAGCCATGCTTCGGCACGAATGGGTCGGCTCGACCGGAGTGATACCACGGCCTCACAGAAAACCGGCGTGAAACAACCACAGCGTTGTGTTTCGCGGTGTGAGTGACGTTACCGGAGGCCCAATCCTTCCCCTGCCCGGACCCTTCCCCAATCACTAAATCTCCAAATCCCTAATCCCTAAAAGTTCGGCAACGCACTCGTAACTCCTCCGTTGCGGGTGGGCATGGGCGGCGCTGATTGCTTGCCATCAGGTTATCCGTCTGCTCGTTGCCGAACTATTAGATAGAAAAAAAAGTTGCCTAGTGGATCCGAGGCTTTAAGTTATGTGATGGATAGTGATAAGTTGATTGATAGTGACTTACTTCTCCAACATGGATTCAATTAGTGTGTATATGCTGCTTCGGGTAATTACTTTTACTGGGGCCTGTATGCTGCGATCATCTCTATTTCGTGATATCTGTAATTAATTATTTTTATTCTTAATCATATGTTTTATGTGTATATCTTTCTGTTTTGTTGTTCGATGATAAATAATTCTATTGTCGAATAAAGAACTACAAATTTCATAAAACTATATAAGTATATGTTACTTATGTAAGTTGCCGATGGTGTCGAAAATATTTCTATTTTTTTAGACATAAATATTAAAAGTATTTGAATCTGTATAAAGTTCCGACGTAATACATGTAACGTTTATAAAAATTACGCTCAATATTGCAAGGCAGCCGAGGGTTTTATTTTGTCAAAGTATAGTAATAAGCGACACGTAATTTTCTGTTAATCGATTTTAGACTCTAAGGTAGTAAATAATAATACAAACCGTTTCAATATCGCCAAGCAGAGGTTCGAAGTAGGTGGCATTCGCGACATTGTAGTAGTTGGCTTCAAGGAACCAGGCGACGCTTACGTAGGATTCAGGATGTAGGGGGATCGACACTGTTGCAAAGACCTGCAAAAGAAAACCAAAATATTTTTAGGTCCATATAAATTTTGACTGCACAGTTGACGCGATTGCTGCGGTGCATCATGTCACGGGATCGATTCCCGCAAGGAACAAATCTTTGTATAATCAACAAATTGTTGTATGGGGTCTGGATGGATTGTGTATGTAACGCCTCCGCGAAAAAGACGGAAATAAAAGCGTAGACCTCTTTAAAAAAATATACATATTATATCGGGCTAGAATCTAGTAAAGCTTATGTTTTTTAAATATTTAAATATTAAGTAGTAACACAAATTTGTTAGTGAACGCAGGCAAAACATTTGAATTCTAGTGACAATACGAGACATTCGTTCTTAATTTTAAAAAATCAAAATTTATTATTATTTTTAAAGTTTTGAAATACGAACATCCGATGTTGTTCACGTAGCCAGTCAGCACACAACCAGACGATCGTAGATAATAAAAAATAACAAGTAAATAAATACTTAATAATACTCACACCCCACTGTGTGTTCGGTGTAAACAGTAAATATCTTCGTTGTCTCTTCTTGGTGACAGTTTGATCACATATTACACTAAATAATACAATACTCCTGAAATAAATAAACACGTGTTAACAATATTTATTTATTTGTTTTTCTTACTGTTTATCTTACTGTCCTTTTGCGTATAAACCATAACACTTGAACTATGTACAATAATGCCTTACAAATAAAGCAAATTTCAAAAGAGTCTCAAACCTCCTTTCACGTAAATAATTAAATATAAAACGAGATTCTATTTATAAAACACGCACAAAATAAAAATAAAAAAAACACATACACAACCATATAACAGCCAATCAACATTTTCCAATGCTATTTTTATTCTAAATTCAAAATATGTCGACTTTAGTATTATGATTTGACACAAATACAGCCGGTTGGTTGGGATCTGTCACATGACAGACTACCTTTTTGTATTTACTGAAGTAATTTTGTCTACGTCTTCTCTTAATTTAAGTAAATACACAAACACGACTTGTATATAGGTAGGTAGTATGGGAAAATGTGAATAGTGTTGAGGTCAGTGCCCTTTCAATAAATGGATCTATTTTGAATAAAATTGAAGCACACAGTAGCTGCAGCAATAAAAATAGAAAAAAAGTAAAAGTACATGTTTTTATATCTATATAAATATATTAAGACCAGCTTTTCCGCGCGGCTTCACCCTCGTGGTATGTCGATAAAAAGTAGCCTATGTCCTATCCCGGAGTGTATCCTGTGTCTTTGCTAAATTTCATCCAGATCCGTCCAGCAGTTTTGGCGTGATTGAGTAAACACACATCCAAACGTCTAAACATCGTAACTTTCGCATTTATAATATTGGTAAGGTAAGATTGATCATATATATATATAGGTATAGATATACATATTGATAGAGGTTTGATATTGAGTTATTAGTTGTTAAGTAAATTAAATAATAAAGTAAGTTATCGATAGAAGACACAATTTTTTTCATTATAGGAAATTCATATCGATTATAAAACAAAATGATAATAATATTTTAATATCGTTAATAAAAAATATTAAAAGTATGTCGAAAATTAATAAAATAGTTATAAACGTATAATTCATTATTCTACGAAATTGATTAGTCCCTTACATCTACGGAAACAATATAGAGGGTGTTATTTAAACTCCGGATATTGTAAATTGTGTTTAGCGAGACCCCATTAATATTAAAATACTTTAAACCACATTTCGCAAATCGAGTTTCAAATTACAAAGATTTACCGAAGAAAATTGATGGGTTGTCTCTTTTAAATAAAACTTGTCGTTTCTTCAATTTGTAAGTAATTACTGGCGATTAATTAAGTGGAAAATCTTGTGATACAAGCCTTTGAGGGAACTTGCTCAATGATTCATCGGTAACATAGTTTCGAGTGATAGTTATCGGAGTATTTCCCAAGTTTGGGACACCCTATTCAAATGTTTAATGTGGTATTGATAGGGTTGCCACTAAACGGTTTATTGTTAAATTGTAAGTAGCTTAACATGAGCACTTGGTGGACTTTTAATTTGTTAATTAAAAAATATATAATGATAATTATGCATGCTTGTATGTACATATATATTTAAGAATCATTGAGGGTCACGTTTTGTATCTACCCTGTATTAGATTTTTAGTCTGTGTTATTAGAAAGGTAATGATCATATTTCAAAATGTTATTCGTAATTACTTTTTTATATGTTAGGTCGGCAAACGAGCAGACGGATTACCTGATGGTAAGCAATCAGCACCGTCCATGATGCAATGGAGGAGTTTCGAGTGCGTTGCCAACCTTTTAGGGATTAGGGTTTTGGAGATTTTGGGGTTAGGGAGGGCTCGGGGGAGGAGAAGGGTTGGGCCTCCAGTAACCCACACGGCGAAACACAACGCTGCGGTTGTTTCACGCTGGTTTTCTGTAAGGTTGTAGTATAACTCGGTCGAGCCGACTCATGCGTGCCAAAGCATGGCTCTTCCACAGTTACTAAATGCAGTATGATAAAAATATGTAAAAAAATAAATACATATACTTTAAAATTACTATATGATAATATAATTTAGCGTGTCGAATAGTTCAATAATACTTTACAAAATATATGTTAAGAAACGGAACCTTTAAATTTAAAAAATGTTAATCTTTACATGAATTTGTAAATAAAAACATAATTTTCAGCTAAAATCAAAACATAATGAGACGTCACCATTCAAAAGAGACATGAAACAAAAAGAGAGTATCTAATAAAAGAGAGCTACTTAATAAACCGTAATTTTATCACCAAAGAGTCTTAATTAAACAGATTGTTTTACAATCTACTTTTCTAATTTTAAGGACGAGAAAAATCTGAATTAATATAATTACAGCGAACATTACTCATGAAATTCAAATTCCACTGAGGTGTATATATTATGATTTGGTAGGGAAATTAGTACGATTCAAAATGCAGGCCCCATGTACGTGTGGATGAAATATTACACCTGATTGTGGGTTTGAAAAAATATTTCGAAAAGGGCAATTTTACATATACATATATTTATAGGTGTGTATGTACGTAACGCTTTTACTTTTTTATATTGATCAGGGCTTTAAAAGTGACCTATAAGTTTGTTTCAGCATTTCTTCTCAGATTAGTTACACGAGGAAACGTGGGCTCTGTAGGAATCTTTTGTGATCCTAATGTATGTCTGGGAGACCCATGGTTCAGCATGAATAGGTCAGATCCACCGGAGTGATACCATGGTCTTACTGAAAACCGTCTTGAACACAAGCGCACCCTTTTTTTCGCGCATGTGATTGAACCGGAGGCCCAATCCTCCCCCCCCATCTCCCCTCAATCCCCAATCCCGAAATCTCTGAAATCTTAATCCACAAATCATCAAATGACTTCGCTCGGCGAGGCAAGAGGGAATATCAGACTCTTACTGACTAAAACCCACCCAGTACCTTCTCCTGCTTCAGGCTTAAGCCGCGATATCTTCTTGCACTTGCCCGACAACTCGAGATGATGAACAGACTTTACATGTTTAACAGCAAGATAGAAAAGAAGGAATTATATAGGTATACTTGCTTGAAGGAATAATAACCTAGAACCTAACTAGCAATTTATATCAAAACGAAAGTTATAAACTCTACTACAATTCTAATTTTAATACTATTAAATCTTTAATCATTCAAATCAATTAACAACCCACACGACATGACAAGAAATTAGCATCATAATATTTTATAGTAGTGCTCTCTTTCATAACAAATAAGAGTACGCTTCGAGCACGCACAAAGGAGAAAAAATATCTGTTCAACATATTGCAGCGGTAGTGTATAACCGCAGAATCCCATTTTAACCCTTCATTTCAATAAATTGGCCGGCGGAGTGTACAACAGACTTAACTTTGATGCGGTACTACGGACCCCGTAGAACTGTGCACATAGCAAAGGTAAATGTTTGCAAGAGAAATGCACGCGGTTGTGGCAACTTATAAAAATGAAGAGAAAATTTCTAATGCTGAAAGTCGGCGCTATGTTATTATTCCGTTGTGTTGTAGGGTTGGTTTTGCCAAGTCATTTTATGTTGGGACTTTTTTTTATTTGTACCCATTCTTGTTATGAATAATTTAGTTTCCTTTTGTAGTAAATAAGGACTGAAACTTTAAAGTTGGAATGTGCAGTTGATATTTCTATAGAGGTATTTAATGTCACTGTGTTTTAATATAAAACGGGACCTGTACCAACTCTATGTGAACAACATTTTAATATGACACCTTATTTTCATAACCGTTTTATCTGACGCTTTCAATTTTTGGTGCTTCCATGTAAAAGATCCACAAACCAAGTGTAAAGTAGGTATTTCCGTGAAATGAGTGTGCTCTAAAAATCTATGCCTCATGTAGACTCATTTCAGTATCAAAATACAGTATGTGTACACTCGTAGAATGGGGTCGTAATGTGTAATGTTTTGTTAAGCGGAGGCATGTAAGTTTTAACCTCGGTTCGGCGTTGGCAAGCATCTGTGCCGTTCGGTACAGGCCAGAGCACTCGGAAAACATAACGGTTCATTAGTCAGACATCGCCGTAGGCTCTGTGTAAACATTCTAACATTTTATCTTATACAGTATTTACACTCCGTCGGCGCCGGTGCGCTCAGAATCGACGTTAAAACGAAATACTACGATGTTGCTTGCTTTAATTTTGTTCAATTTGCTTTCGCTGTTTGGGGCGGACGCGGCAAGGCAAAGGCGGTACCTCGTGTACCCAGACGGTGGCCCAGCCAGAGCACAGGTATTTTCCCCCTGTCTTATTAGAACAAATCCATGTAAATTTACATAGCGTACCTGATTTAACTTAAGTAAATGATGTTTTCTTTGCACAACGGATAGGGCTTAACGAAGCAGTGTCTTTTTTGTTCGTGAATTTAAATGCAATTAAGCTCCTGTCTGCCTTTTGAAGCGTACCATGAGAGTTTTGTTTTTAATTTATTTCTATTTCATTCGGACGTTTTATCTATGTCGTTTTGTGTTCAAATTTGTTCGAAATATTTTGCTCAAATTTAGTGTAGACGTGCAAATAATTACATTTTGTATATTCATGATATAATCATAGTGTTCTCGGCTTATAAATATTTCTAAACAATTTGCATTGTTTATGTAAATAAAAATAAATAAATATACATAGATTTATTGATCTTTTATCGGTATGTTGTAAATTTTTAACTGTCTCAATTTTATATTTTCGAGCAAGCAGTGGCAGTTCCTACCATTATTTTTTCTGTAACAGTAACTTTTGGTAAAGGCTATTGTAATATGCTTATGTTAGTTCAAAAAAAAAGTTGAATCGTCCAAATTTCGACAGAATATAAAGTGTGAAACATCGACATTACACACTATATGAGAGCGAAAAGTCAAAAACAATACGAAATACTCGCGACGATATACATATGCATTAAAGATACTTTTCATAAAAAATAATTAAAACATTTTCAAAAGAGGCACCTTTGCTCATCACCAATGTCGTGACCATCGAATCAGTAGCTTGACCTGACCTACATTAACTCAAATTAGTTCTAACTTTGTCTAACTTTCTCCAAATTCCAGTTCATCATCGGTCTCGGTGTGCCAGTTGACCTGAAGGAGCAGTCAGTAACCGTGGGTACAGTAATAAAGTTCCAATATGATTTGCCTACAAACAGCACTGAATACACAAGCAGGATTTACGGTTTCGCTGGAACAGTCTCCAGGGACATGAACGAAGACAATCCAACAAAAGACGTTTCAAATGAAATAGATTCAGACGAGTCAAGACAAATAGACGAGACAGAAGATCTTGTAACTGAGGAACCCGAGGGAGACAACGATACGTTAGTTGATCTGACGTTTGATGATAGACGAAAGAGGTCCCTTGTTTATTCCGAGAATGCTGTACTAATTACTGATAGTAGTACTACCAGTAATGATTTGTCATTAGAAGAAGCTATTAAAAAACAAGAAATGATTGATCAGAACGCTTTGGAAGAAGAAGAGGAGCCGCAAAGAATGAATCGGTGGGACTTCTACAAAGTAATTGAACGAATGGTTGAAAGGTAAAATTGAAATAATATTTAATTTAAAAAACGAACAATCTTAGACCCAGTGTTTGTGCATTAGCTCGCAATGCATTTAATTACTCAGCTTTTGAAAAAAGACAACAATCAAGCACCAAAGTTTAAATTTCAAAAACAACGAACAAACCAAAACTCTAAACCAACCAACCAACTTAGCTGGCTCACAAACAAACAAAAGAAAGAAAAGAAAAAGTAAAAGAATATCCTTTAATCTCAAAAATAAAACTTAAATCAAAACATCATTTAGTTGAAGTCTTTATAAAGAGTTAACAAGAATCGCTAGGAAGGTATAATATTTTATTAAGGTTGCCCATTGAAACTTCAGGTACGGGTATTCAGGCCGGCCGTGCTTGCTTCGAACAATCTGCGAGGCTGCCGAGGTACCATTCACCCATGAAAACGGTTTGCTCGGCGAAATTGGACATATTCTATTCACGTAAGTCACTAACGTTATGAAAGGATTTTGGTACTGCCTTATTTATGAATGATATATCATTCATTCGTTTGGCAGTTGACGGGTTAAGATTGGAGCATTTTGGTTAAGGAAAATCGTTTAATCCGCCGGTGTTCGGGTATTTTTATTTGAAGGGTGTGCAAATGAGGTGGTTCCTTGTTAAGTCAGCGATTCTTTTTTTAATCTGGGATGTTATATGGTTTCGTATTAAGAATTTCTTTTTTCAAATGTCTCAGTTTATATTTTTTTGTTTTATTTTCATTTTTTGTTTCTATTGTATTTAATACGATAATAGGGATTAAGATAATGTTTTCCTTAATTAGGAAGATTTCCATGACAGCAGTATCTGTTAATATTATACTTTAAAAGTCATGAATAAATTATCGCTTTATGAACACTGCCAATAAAAACAACTTCTTTAACGCAATATGCTCGTCTCTTTCAGGCCATCAACCACGAAGGACACTCTGTCCCATCATACGGACAACGAATACCATGCAGCTGAGAGACTGGGTAGAGAAACAGGAGTTAACTGCGAGGATCTATTCCCAGAATGCGAAGGGTCTATCCTAGAAACTTTTACGCAGATTGGAGAGGACACATTGCATAGATTTGGGTTCTTGTAATATTTTAGAACTTTTGGAATAGTAGAATCGTGTGTCGAAGTTTTTTTTTATAAAAATTTAATTACATTTGTGCTCCCGGATAATTTTCTTTGATCTTTTAGGTGTAATTTTATAATTTCATTCTTTTAAAGATGCGATTAGTGTAAATGTTCATTTGATAATCATCCCTAAGTAATATCAACTTTTAATAGATTCACCCCAAATGTACATATATTATGTTATTTTGTAATGTTTCGTGTTATTTCCTATCAACTTTTCTTAAATTATGTAAGCTTTAGAAGAATGATCAGTTGTTGAGATTACTCTTTAGTAACTTTTTTACTTGTAGGTAGTTTTCGAAAGGAAATGCCAGTAAGAAACCGTGAATAAAAAAGCAACTTACACGCGATTCTTCCAAATGTCGACTAATAATTTTCTTGACAGTTGGAATATCGCTTTAGTTTATAAATTATATATTTATTTATATTTTATTGTACTAATTTATTTTAGAAATAAAATTAAAAGAATATTGTGTTTTATTTTGTTAGCATAAATGTATTATTAGTTCGGTATTTTCGAACCGATACGACATTCAAACCTTCAAGAAATAGCGCACACCTTAAAAGGCCAGCAACGTGCCCGTCACTCCTCTGGTGCCGCATGTGTCCAAGTGTCCATGGGTGGCGTAGATCACTTACCATCAAGTCATCCGTCTACTTGCTTGCCTCATCTATACTAATATTATAAATGCAAAAGTAACTCTGTCTGCCTGTCTTTTCTTCACGTCTAAACTACTGAAACGATTTCTGTAAAATTTGGTACAGACATATGTCGTGTGGAACTCGAGAAATGACATAGCAAAGTTTCTATACCAAAAATCTGTAGGAAGTCACTACGAGTATTCCACGCGAACGGAGTCGCGGGCAAAAGCTAGTAGGTACTCCATAAAAGAAAGTATTGTTTAAAACTAAGATTTCTTTTATTACATTATTTTTCAGTTTCAATCAATTGGTTATATTTTTTTAATTAAGAATAACAAGTCAGATCTAAAGTCATCAGGTTATAATGAAAACAAAATGTTAACGTGTGCACTCAAATAAATAATTAATTTTACTATACAATTGATTCTAGTCGTCGTCGAGACAAAACTCAAATAGCGATTAGTGACTTTTTAAACAAAATCTAGTAAGCAGACGGTTGTTTAGTAATTATTGTCAATCTAAATTCTCATTCAAACACGTTGCTAAAAACGTTTCTATTTTTAGATCCTAAACTAAGTAGTGACAAAAAAAGAACAAAACGATAATGTACCCTATTACATACCTGGCTAAGTTAATTTTTGCGAGCAGTAAAAGCGTGGGATGAGATAGAGATAATGCATTCTATTTTGTAGATGATTCATGGACTGTTTCCGAAAACAGCATAAAAGCACATCCTGTATATACCAATGTTCTTTTATGAGAATGAATACGGTTACATTTTTGGTCCGCGATTAAAAAGTTTAATGTGAACAGGGCACATTAAAACTGAAAATTTGAAAGTCAAAAATCTCAATTGTTTTTTGTAATAGGAAACGGCAGGGTGGGTCCCGGTGTTCTCCTTGTAGGTGTTGATGGTGGCCACCGGGGAGGTTTTAGTGAGGTAAAAATTTCACACTTCCTAGTCTTTTCCCCAAAAGCTAGGCGCCAAAAAAAAAGAAAAAAAAAGAAAGAAAAGGAACGGCAGGGTATGGGATTTAAAATTATTCTATTTAGTCGATTAGTTAAATAATGAAAAAAATAACATTGGACACATTTTTTCATTCGTTGTATATATGTATTTCTTTTATGTGATTGCACGGTTATTGAGCAGACGGATTGCTTGATGGTAAGCAATTGGTGCCGCTCATGGATACTCGCAACACCAGACGAGATAAGAGTGCATTGCTGGCCTTTTGGGGATACGAAGTGTTTTCGGAGATTTAGCAATCCCTAAATCTCTATCGCAATCCGGATAATACGGCAAAGCACAAGGCTGGGATAGCTTCAAGCTGGTTTTCTATGAGGCCGTGGTATCTCTGACACAGACACTCCAGGCGAGCCGGGCCCTTCGTGCTAATGCATGGCTTTCCCACGTAACTCCTTATAAAAAGAGTAAGAACATTTATTATGTTTTAAATTAATCTACCAGACGAACATAAAGAAATACCATCGATATTCACAGCAATAAAAATAATGTTTACAAATAATTTTAAGATTAACCAGTTTTATAAACCTAAACCTTTCTGTAATCAATGTAACTTACTGTATTGTAGAGCATCTGCCACGGATATCTCTGCACTTCCTATATGATGACTCTCAGAAAATGATTCACGCTATGCTACTCTATATAAAAAGGAATAAAGTATAATCTTGAATACTTAGATTCCTATACAAATAGGTAGGTACTATGTGTCGGCACTCTATAACCTTTACCTACACTCTACGTAACTAAGTAGATCATATATTATCATTACACAGATATGCATTCCTTGCATTAAGGCGAGAATTTGCTGTTGAAATATTAACTCACGGGTAGTTCAACTAAGATTTATTTTTGAATGTGTTGTGTAAAGTAAATAAAAAATATCAAATTTTATTTTTAAGCGTGATTTTCTAGTTTTTGTGTGACTTTCTAGGGCTTTTTCTTCGTCGTAGTACGTTTTAGGGAATATGTTTTGTTAGATCATTCAAAAAACAATTTCGAAAGGTTTTAACGGATTTCGCTGAGTCACCCAACCATCACATTGTAGTCATTAGTTGTTGTTATAAAGTAACGTTTAAATTTTTTCTTATTCTTTCTTTCCTTGCGAGGTACTATAGGATTCTGGACCTTTGGTAGGCGTAATAGGGGCCGAAACCATTTCGCAGAGGCCTGTTGAATAATTTTAATCTAAATGTAATGGGACATCAGCTGGCAAGCACGAGGGAAGTACATCCAAAGACACCGTTGATATAGGACTATACATAGTGCATAGTGGAAAAAATAACCAAGTTTTGCACTTTAAAACTTGACAAGGAATGTGACGTTTTCCAAGGTACATGTGATTTGTATGTATATTTAAACACCACTGACAAACAAACGGTTAAGTCAAAAAAAAGTCAAAAAAAAAAGTCAAAAATCATTTATTTCAATTAGACCACAGTAGGCACTTTTGAACGTCAAGCAAGCAAAAAAGGAAAAAAGTATATAATATGAGCTTTAAAATTAAGCGTGTCAGTCTGTCCGTCTGTCCTCTAGTGAAGCTATTTGCTCGTTCCAAAGTGTAGATTCCTATGGAGAAGAACGAGCAAGAAACTCCATGGTTACTCTTTTTCAATCAGTTTTACAATACCTACATTTCTTTGTTACATATTTTAGTCGGTTCTGATATGTGAGAACAATGTAACACTAATGTTCAGGCAAAAAGTACGAAAAAGAAGTGAACCTCAAGGACAACATATTTAGACAGCCTGGAGATGACCAGTCCCAATTGGCGGCGCCCGTTCACGAACATGACACGTACACCAGCACCGCCCAACTCAACCATATTATAGGGAATTGGGCGATCCAGTGCCCGTGCCACCGCCAATGAGACCTCTGAGTGAGCATGACAGCTCCCAGCCGACACAAGTACCTATATTCTACAAGTCTTACTTAATTATAATAGGTTACAGGGTACTCACATTTACAAAAAGTTCATCAAAAATTAACAACATTGTGTACAATTTAATAATTAAAATCAAAAATTCCTCTAAACATCCTGTGGAGTAGGACCAGCTAGCCTCCAAGCATTTTTATCTTGTATATAATCATTTAGTTTGTAGTATGCTAGTTTACATAAATGTTTCTTTATACATAATTTAAATTTGCTTTCATTTAGATTTTGAATTTCAACTGGGATTTTATTATAACATTTAACACAGAAACCCAGAAATGACTTATGCACTTTTGCCAATCTAAATAAAGGCTGACTCAATCTATTCCTATGTCTAGTATGATAATCATGTTTGTCAGATACCTTTACAAATAAGTGTAGGTTCTTCCTAACATACATAATGTTTTCATAAATAAATTGACTCGGTACGGTCAGAATGTTGATCTCCTTAAACTTTTCTCTGAGAGATTCGCGACGACCTAAGTTATATATGGCTCTGACGGCACGCTTTTGCAAGATAAAGATAGACTCAACGTCGGATGCCTGTCCCCACAACAGAATTCCATACGACATGATGCTGTGAAAGTAGCTAAAGTACACTAGTCTTGCCGTGCCTACATCGGTTAGCTGACGGATCTTCCAGACAGCATAAGCTGCAGAGCTCAATCGTCCTGCTAGAGACCTGATGTGGGGCCCCCATTGCAACTTCTCATCTACAGTGATCCCCAGGAAAGTAGTCTCTTTTACAAATTCTAGTAAGTAAGGAAAACATCATGAGGAAACATGGATTTATAATATCTATATATTTGTTTGAAATGGCCATTTCGGCTTTTAGCAAGCGTGGCGATTGATTTTCACTCCGCAAAGGGCCTTTGTAACCCAATGAAATGTGTGTAACTTTAACAATATACAAAAAAGAAAGGTAGCAAATACAGTCTTTATTCTCAATCACGCTTGATCGTGTAGTTTAGTGAATACATCTATGAAGGATAGTGAACAGCCGTGGTATAACGCAGAGCAGTCTTTCTGATGCTCCCCGTCTGTATACGCCTTGATATATGGGTAGGTATCATCGTTTTCCGTCAGGTTGTGAATGCCATCGTTTTTGGGGCTGAAATTTAAAATAAATTTGATTACTATTAAGTACTGTTACATATTTTGAATGTAGGAGATTGGTAGTCTAGATCTTTAAGGTAGTGACTATAAAAATTAGTAACTTTAGTTTTGACCTATGACGACATAGATACATATAAAATATCCCTCCCACAAATTATCGATTACAATTTTTTTTTGCAGCAAAGAACGAAAATTTAGGAATTATTAATAAAGCTTATACATTAGATACAGTTTTGTTTATATCTTGAATAGTTTTGGCACTTTTACAAGGCACAGCTTTTGTCAGTCTCATTGTTCAGTAAGATAATAAATAATTAACAAACGTGATCAATGGATCAGGGCCATAAAGCTGAATGGGCTAAAAAGTTTGCGAACTTAATATGGGGTGGAATGTATCTACCTATACCTAGTTCAACAAGAAAAGATACAACTTATTTTCTTGTTAAGGCATGTTTCTTGCAGAACCTTACTTGTATCAGACTCATGCTGCCATAAACAAATTACGCATATTATGTTCTATAACTCCACAGACCTCAATTTTTTCATAACAATATAGGATTTTCTTCTGTGTTCTGCGTTCACAAACATACAAATTCAGATACACAAGCCAGATCCGAAAAAATCTGAAAAAAATGTGTATCACATAAAGTATTTTTCCGTGCGGGAATCGAACCCGCGACACAATACACAGAAGACAATAACAGGTGCAGCCAAAGTTAGTTGGGTTCTGAACCCATAAAATCGTCGTGATGTGAGCCGGAGGTTAACGCGTACCCAGTTCTCGTGCATAAGGGTTTAAAACCTGACAAGTACCAATGTGATTTTTTCAAACCACGAAGGCAAACATCCTTTCGGTCAGGATGTTTTCGTCGTTTAGTCGTTTCAAAGTAGTGTCTCTATCGTGAGGAAACCTGGATTTATAATTTCAAATTATAAGTTTGAAATTGCCAATCCACCTTGACCAAGCGTGGTGATTAATATTTAAACTTTTTCCATGTGAATATCTACAGGCTTTTCACATACTATCGCCTAGTGTGCACCAATTGATCGACATTTGAACTATGTAGTTGCATCCACTCATGCAACTGGTAACTAGTAGTGCAAAGAGTGGTCGTGCCAGATCGAGTGTGTACTCATCTTATCGTCAAGTTCAAACAGTTAGTGGTCCCAACTAGTTGGTTAAACTTGTCAACGCGTGACATGATGTAACTTTGAAGGGAATGCGGCACTGAACCGGTCAATGAACCGTACCCTCTGAAATACGGTGAAATAGTGGAGTATTTTTTTTAAGTGATAGCTCGGCAAACGATTGGGAATGTTACCTGATGGTAAGCAATCAGTGTCTCCCGTAGACATAATTCTGAAGAAGTGGAGAAGGCAACACAATTGAAAAAAAAGACCTATTAATACTTTTCCTAACATTAGCTGGGAAAAGATAGAGTACAAAATGGGCAATTGCAACATTTTTACCGACGATGCACTCTTTAAGCTTATATTATGTTTGAATTTTTCAAACCTTTTTTTATTCAATACAACAAATAGCAGTATATTAAATATAACACATACTTAGACTACAAAGGTTATAGACATGCAATTACACAACTCAAGACGTCAACCACAGGTTATCATACAATATACTACTTAAGGCTGATTTTTCAATAGTCAGATCAAAATGTTATCTGAAGAATAAAATTGTTGCTGTCACTGTCTTATACAAAAATTCTGACGCGACAGCATAATAATTATTCCGCAGATAACTTTTATCTAACCATTCAAAAATCAGCCTTAGTAATATAAATACAGTGTTGTGAGTGGACTTACTTTAACACAAATATTGCCATTTCATGCAAGACATCTTCTTCATCATCAGTGTGTAAGGGTTCAGCTCCAAGTTGACACAATGTTTGCAGGACACACGACTTGCCATTGTGGCCGAACCTGAAATGATAAATGTATATAGGTGAATAACAAAATTAAAAACAAAATGTTAAGCTGTTAATCACTTTTCTCACAGTTTTAGATTGTTTCATGAGAAATAATGGACTGTGATTACATTTTTTGATGTGACAAACTTATTAGATATATTGTTTTCCATTTTCTCAGTAAGACTTCAAAATAAAGCTCAATAAATAAAATACAAGAGTAACTAGTTTAAGAAGTTTAAAAATGGCTTACTGGTTCGTTAACTAATGGAACTTATTTAAATCAAATGGATGCTTAAAACAGTCTTTAAAGTGTGGGGGAGCCATGTTTCGGCACGAATGGGTCGGTTCAGCCGGAGTGACACTACGACTCATAGAAAATCAACGTGAAACAACTACAGCGTTCATTTAGTCGTGCGGGTAAGGTAACTCTGCAATACCTAATCTACTAATGGCTGGCTCTCGTCACGTCTCTGGTGTTGCTGGTGTCAATGGACACGGCCAATTGCTGACTATCAAGTTAACTTTGCTATTAAATAAAAAAACCAAACCCAAAACCTCTTGTTCAATCAGTGTTCCGATTCCCACTCGCACTCGCGAATAACATGTTAAAATATACCCACGATCAAAATAAATATAGGCGTTGTTTATTAAAATAGGGTAACTCCAGTAAACAGTAATAAATAACAAATTTGGACATTCACAAAATTGGTATTGACGAAAGCAATTTTTGTGAAAATTGCTTCCCGAAAGCCAACCAAGTGTTGGTGTGAAATAAATCATGGTTTTCATATCTTGGCCTGCCTATCGGTTATCCGTGAATAAACAGGCATACGATGCGTGACGTCATCAACGTCTCGATTTATTTTGTATCTTATTTGAAGAAAAGAGTCATCTTGTTTTTAACAAAATCACTCAAAATTTACATTTGATATTTTTTGGGGATCTTTTTTTTTTTTGTTTTTTTTTTTTTTTTTTTTTAACGTGTAGAAATCCTCATGGATACCCTTTGTCTAGACAAGAGCGTCAGACAGCAGGTTATGTCGGACTCTTACCGACTAAAACCACACACTCAATCCCAGAAAACAATGAGAGGGTCACTGGGTACTCGAATGAACGAACTCATCTGCGACCTTCAAATGATGTTACTACCTCTTATCTTTTCGGAGCTAAGTTCTACGGCGATTCCTACGACGCCTCCTTTGTCTCCGAGTTGGGTCTATCCTCTCTCGATCTCTCTCTGCAGTTTCCTTCTGAAGCATAACAGTTTCACAGAAGGTGACTACGGCCTGCCAAGCTGTTGGATCTGCTAACATAGCTGAGATTACTGTCGGTAAGCAAAGGTTGTGGCCAATTATTTGAACCAGAACACGTCGCTCACCGAGCCATTCAGGACAATCCTCAAGCGTGTGTTGAACGTTGTCTCGATCGTCTCCACAATGATGACATCTGGGTGTGGCTTCAGATACTCGCCAAAGCACCCGTGGCCAGTAAGTATCTGAGTAAGTCGATAGGTTACGCGATCACTCCTCCTGAGCCATGCTTCAAAGTTTGGTAAGATAGCTTCTACCACTCGCTTATGAGCAAATTGAACCTCCAACCGGTCACACCGTGGCCGTGGTTTCTGTGAGGCCGTGGTATCACGGATCACCGGCGTGAAATAACCACTGCGTTGTGTTTCGCCGTGTGAGTGAGGTTACCGGAGGCCCAATCCTTCCCCTTCCCCAATCCCTCCTCAATCCCTATATCTCCAAATCCCTAATCCCTGAAAGGTCGGCAACGCACTCGTAACTCCACCGTTGCGAGTGTCCATGGGCGGCGCTGATTGCTTACCATCAGGTAATCCGTCTGCTCGTTTGCCGACCTATTACATAAAAAAAAAACCATTTCTGAAGGGCGCTATTCCGTTCTTGTCGCCTCAGTAGTTCAAAAGCTCTCGGAGGAAAATTATCTCCATTATGACGTATCTCGCGAATTTGATGATAAACTTTTGCATCCATTTCTGCTAAAATGTCCAAAGGTGGAAAACGTGCAAGGAGTGTTGCTGCCTCAAAAGAAACGGTCCTATATCCTCGAATAATTCTAATAGCCATTTTACGTTGAAGGCTATTAAATTTAAGTTGACAACGACGGACTCTCGACAGTCTGTGTGACCACACTGGCGCTCCGTATAAAGCAATCGACCGCACGACGCCTGCGTATAACCGACGGACTTCCTCTCGCGGTCCTCCTAGGTTAGGCAGTAAGCCGTGCAATGCACCCACAACTCTATCAATCCGGGGGATAAGGCGGTTGAAGTGCTCTTCAAACCCCCAGCGACTGTCTAAGATTAAGCCAAGGTATTTCATGTATTGACCAACTTGAACCTGTGTATTATTAATACAGATAGAAAAACTGGGAGTTTCTCGGCCTCGCGGCGGTTTATGAAACCACAAAGCTTCTGTCTTATGAGTTGCGATTTCTAGGCCGAGGTCACCAATAGCAGACACTATAGTGGCCACTCCCAATTCCGCCAGTTGGACAGTACTCTCATATGTATTTCCAGTTGCCAATAATAACGTGTCATCCGCGTAGCACACCACACTAACGCCTGTAGGAAGATCTACACGCAGTACCGCATCGTATGCCAAGTTCCATAAGAGAGGTCCAAGTACAGATCCTTGTGGCACGCCACAATTCACTTCTCTGTAGTAAACTCTCCCATCTCGTCCCACATAGCGGATTCGCCTATCACAAAGATAAGCGTTGATTATGCTTTGTAAGTAGGGAGGAAAACGATGGTATACAAGAGCACTTCTGATTGCCTGCCAGGGTAACGAATTGAAGGCATTAACAATGTCAAGACTTATTGCTAATGCCATTCCACCATGAGCCACCGCCTGCTCCGTCAACATACGAACCCGCAAAATTGCGTCAATGGTAGACCGCTTTTGTCTGAAGCCGAACTGATTTTCAGAAAGATCTGGACCTGTGCTCGATAGATGCTCGTTGAGGCGAACTGCTATTATCCTCTCGAAAAGTTTTGAGACTTCGTCAAGTAAGCATATTGGACGATATGCAGAAGGAGAGTCAGCATCTCTACCAGCCTTTCTCAATAGGACTAATCCGGCTTCCTTCCACTTTGATGGAAAGATGGCGTGTTTTAAACAACTAGTGTAAAGTCGCCTCAGCCTATCTCCAAAAACTTTAATCGTAAGAACCCATACTCGACCGGGGATGCCATCAGGGCCAGGCGCAGTGTTACGATTTTTTAAGCGACTTATAGTCCTGTTCAATTCGCCTTCAGTCACTTCTAAATTATCATTCCAACCTGAGTCAGTATGTAATGTTGGTTGAACACCCTGAACATCTGGAAAGAGACTTGAAATGACTCGATCCATAAATTCGGGATTTAAGGTTTCCGTTAGAGGTGGTACCCAAGGACGCAATTTTCTCATAACCACTTTATATGGTCTCCCCCAAGGATCTCTGTCCAGTTCTTCCACTAATTCTCTCCATGATTGAGATTTGGCATTTGATATCGCATTTTGTAGTGCTTTTGTAGCCATACGGTATTCGGCATAAGCTGTAGAAACTTCCTCGACTGTTGCACTGCGCCTTCTTCTGCTACGAGTATATCGACGTCGCGACCTTAAACAACTCACTCGAAGCTGCGCAATTTCCTCCGACCACCAGTATACTGAACGGAAACTTATATGTTTGATGCGAGGCATCGAAACATCACAAATCATCGTCATCGTTTCTTTAAGACAATTAGCTTCCGTTTCTGGATCTGGTAAGTTTCCTCCAGAACGCGAGTATCGGGAGTCATACTGCCATGCCTCGACATGAGCTGCTGCAATGAGCAGGTCCTTGTTGAGTTTTTTAAGAGACCAGCGAAAATGTACGCGTACTAGACTTTGCCTGCGTTGAGAAGTACGAACTGTCACGTCAAAGACAATATGGCGGTGATCTGACAAGGTGACGATGTCTTCCGCAACACGCCAATTTGCTACCATTCGACACGCAGAGGCAGTTGCCCAAGACAGATCAACGACTGATTCTCCTTGCCATCGAACGCATGTCGGAACGGACCCCTGGTTTAGCAGGCGCAAATCGAGTCCGGCTGCCCAGTCTTGTAATACTATACCTCTAGGTCCATCTCGTCTATTACCCCAAAGTCTTGAGTGGGCATTAAAGTCACCCAAAATGAGTACTGGACGAGGTAAGCAACGGCTACGTATACAGTGTGTTATACTGTCCAGATATCGTTCGAAATCCGAAATAGAAATATTAGGGGAAACGTAACACCCTACCACTACCAAAGAGCCCCATTCGACCACAACGTAGCCTGGACCATTACAGACAGATACACAAGGTGGATCTCCTGTTTCACCATTCCAATAAATGGAGACTGAGTCAGAAGTATCCCTAAACCAGCGTGGGTGATCTGGGGTATTATACGGCTCTGCTACAACGGCTATAGCAACCGACCGCTCCGCAACTGTTTGCAGGAACAAATTTTGTGCGTTGCGGCAGTGGTTTAGGTTGCACTGAAGAACTTTTAAGAGTTGGAATGTGACGTTTCCATAGCCTCCGGTACATTACTATCAATTACAGACGTTTTTTGGGATCGATTTGATAAGTTTAAAGAACGACTGTTTGTCCTTTTTTCCTTGCTCAGGAAACACTTTTGGGTGCCCATTCTGTGATCAGATTGGTGTCCCAAATCTGCACAAATTGGACATCGGTATGTTTCCACGGTGCATTCATTTGCTTTATGACCACGTCCGGCGCAAGCATAGCATTGGTCACTTCTGTCCACAGTGCCGGAACACTGACGACGTACATGTCCAAATTCTAAGCATCGAAAACATTGCAGTGGTCGTGGCTCTAGAAATTGAACTCTCATTGATGCCCACCCAATACGAATTTTTTACTGGATGACAGCTTTTTCACCGTTGCTAAAGGACAACGGACCCAAACCCTTCCCAACGAATGCAGCTGACGTCGAATAGCACCTACTTTGACGTCGTC